AAGGGATGTATATAAATACTATGAGTCCTTATTTTAGAAAATTAGATGTTTTGTTGAATTCTACTGGAAGGGGCAGACGGAAAACAGGTCCCTGGAGAATGCCATCTACATCATGAAAGCCAGCAGATAAAGTCTGTCTGACAGAGTTCCTGAAATGTTCTAGCCTTAGGAGGGCGAAGGAAATAGGCAGCAAAGCTCTGTGAAATAGAGCTAAAAGAAAATGACTCATTGCCACCTACTTTTCTCTCTACAAGAATGAAAGGAATGCAACCTGCAAACCCAGGATAAATTCTACCAAAGGAATTATGGTTCACATAGGAGATATATTAAATAAGATATGATTTAGAAAAAGTATTGGTAGGTGTGGAAGCATTATAAATAAGGATCCTTTCCTTTTATAAGAAAGATAATGTAAATAAGAATTCCAGGTATGTGAAAAAAATAAAGAGAAATACAACTATAAAGATAATAAGGGAAAAATATGTGCGGATATATATATAGTGCTTCAAGGTAAGAAAGGCAATCCTAAAAGTGAAACATAGAAGGCAAAAATGGATAAATTAGATTAGATTAAAATTAAGAGAAAAATTGCAATGGAGAAAACATGGAAAAGTTAGACAATTAGTAGTTGTTCAGCTGAAAATATTTGTGATATTTATGAGGCAAAAGATTAACATCTAAATTGACTTAGAATTTCTAAAAATCAATTTAAAAAGGCAAATAACCAAATAAAATAAGAGCAAAAATATGAGCAAGCAACTTGTAAGGGATGAGAATTGAAGTTGTCTCTAGTTTTCCTTAGTACAAAAATTATGACACTAAACATCCTGGTATACAGCTCCATGCCCTCATAGAATAGAATTTTTGTAATTCAACCAGGAGGGGGAGCATGGCCGGAGGAAGGGGAAGGGAAGAACAACAAAAAAGCTTCAGGTGTGTTATGTACATGTACAAATCATGATGAATTCTACCATTATGTACTGCAAACGTGCTAATAAAAATAAATAGAAAGAAAAAAGTAAAAGGACCAAGTCCCATGTTTAATTTTGCCAAACACATCAGAAATTTAAAATGGCAAAAAGATACATACATATAGAGATGTGGGAGCACAGAGCCTAAGGTAACCATGGGAGTATAAATTCCCTGATGGTTCACAGAAGGTACTGAAAGTTGTTCTAGTATTTCCTCGGACAAAACATGGAGGCTTAGTCTCTCTTATGTAGATGTGAACGCTGAAGGATACAAAGTCTGGTTGACCTCTGGGAATCATACAGATCTGATGCCATCTTTCCAGTTTATACTCATAAACTTTTATCTTACTGCACAGGGAGTTAAGTTTGAACATACATCGGTTACCAACATATTCATAAAATTTTGACCCAACGAGTTCTACCTTGGCTCTGCTATCCATAAAGTCTTTGAAGAAGACCACCCTCTTGTCCAAAAAAAAAAAGAAAAAAAAATGGCATTTTCTAACTTAGGCACAGTGCCTCGCTGTCCAAGTTGTGGTAAAATTGGGTGAGCATATGACCAAGGTTTAAAACACAGGCCTCTTCTCTCCCTAAACTCAACTCGTATCATGAGCCAGGATCCAGAGACTCAAAGAAGTTGAGTGTGTCGTGCCCAAGGGAGCGGGAAGAGGCAGAGAGAGATGGGGAGCACTTGGGTCAGCTTAGCATAGGAAGGCAGGAAACAGAATAAAATGTTATTAAGGTGGCCACAACTACTTGAGCAGGGAGTTTGGACTCAGTTTTTTTTTTTTTTTTTTCTTTTCTTCTATGAATGTAGCACCATAGAATAAGCCACAACCATCTTTGGTATGTTCACACATTGTGACCTCACCTGTGAGTATACAAGGCTCTCGGTGCATGGAAATAAGGTTCAGCAGGTGAAAATTCCCTTCTCTGGGAGAGGAAGTAGCAGATGAGAAGTGGGTGGGGCTTCCTTTCTTTTACACTTAGGGTGACATTCATAGTTCATAATAATTTGGTTGCTAATTCCTGTATAATCTCTCACCCCTCTGCTCCCCAGGTAGCTAAGAACTTGTCAATGTGCACTAAACAAGCTGCTTACACTAGCTTTTCTCTCTGGAATTTCCTACTTATCCACCTGGTAAATGTCTTTAAAACTCAGCTCAAAAGTCATACCCTCTCTGAAGCCTTCCTTTTCTTTTAGAGGCAGAATTAGTGTTTAATTTGTCATGGTATTATTTGTTTGACTTCCCCTCTAAATTGATCTGTATGAGGACAGGACTGAATGCTTGTTATTCATCATTACACTTCAACAATTAAGAGTGTCTAGCACCACTTAGGTGTTGTGTAAAATTTTTTCTAACTTAATGAGAGACTAAGAACTGGAAGGTGGGGGCCAGGGATATAACTCAGCAGCACAGCACCTGCCTGGCAAGTGCAAGGTCGTGAGTTTGATTCCTGCTGCCGAAACAAAAACAAAAAACAAAAAAATCCCCCAAAAACGGGAAGGTGGTGACTATCAGGTCTACTTTGCTAATCTGTCTATTTGAGTATTTTATGGGACTTCTTTGGTTTTTTTTTTTTTTGGTTTTTTTCTCCGGTACCGGGAACCGAACTCACGACCTTGTGCTTGCCAGGCAGGTACTTTGCCGCTGAGCTAAATCCCTAGCCCCCGGGACTTCTTAATAGAAGCTAATCTTCTGAGAAAAGGAGACAAGCACAAAGCCAATAAATGTTGTATGACTAAACAATATATCCGGATGGCTTTTGGCCTTGAAGCTAGAAGTCTAAAATTAAAGTTGTTCTGGGGGTTCTGAAGGATATGTTTCCAGGCCTATTTCCTTGATTTGAAGCTGATATTGTCTCTATCTTCTCATGACATTCTCTCTATATTTGTGTCTGTGTCAAAGTTTTTAAAAATTTTATTATTTTTTCATTTATTTTACTGGGATTGGGTCTTGCTATATTTCAGGGATGGCCCTGAAATTTTAGACTCAGGCCATCTGCCTCTCTCAGCCTTCTGAATAGCTGGAACTACAGGTGTACACTACCATGCTTATCTATGTTTTTCTTTTTCATGCATTCTATCCACCCTAATGGCTGTATCTCAACTAATTACATTTGCCATCAACTTTTCTAAAATTACATTCAGAGGTACTAGGGATTAGGACTCTAACCTATGAATTTGGAGGAGGGTACAATTCAACCTATGATGTGACCACTGAGTGTCAATTTGGTGAGTACCTGTGATAGTTAATTGTGATGTCAACTTGAGTGGATTAATAAATGCATAGATTACTGGAGCACAATTCTGGGTGTGTCTGTGAATGGTTTGGCATGTGGGCCATAAACTGAGCAGGGAAGACCCACCCTGGAAGTGGATGGCACCAACCAATAGGTTTATAGCCTGGATGGAATAAAAAGGGAAAGAAGGAAGGCTTTCTTTTTGCTTCTTCAGAGGTGCTCCAGTCTCTGCCACTGCCTTCGGACATTCGTCTCCAGTTCTTTCAGGCTTTCAGCAGAGTCTTCTGCCTTCCAATGGAAACCCTTCAGCTTTCTGATGTGGGTTCACACCAGACTCCACAGTGAGCTCCAGGCCTTTGAATTTTGCCTGGATCCTCCAAAACTCCAGCACGCAGATGGCTATTTTGTATTCTTTTTTTTTTTTTTCTTTTTTCTTTGTCTTTTTGAGACAGGGTCTCGCTATGCAGTTCAGGCCGGCCTTGAGCTCACTTTGTAGCCCAGGCTGGTCTAGAACTCGAAACGATCCTCCTGCCTCAGCCTCCCGAGTGTTGGGATTACAGGCGTCCGCCACCACGCCCGGCTCTATTTTGCATTCTTCCACCAGATTTAGAAGGTACCCACTGTAACCTAGTTTATATATATATATATTTTTTTAAAAAAAACTATATATTGTATACATAAACTACATATTGTATACATATATATATGCAAAATCTGTCCTTTTAGTGAATTCTGATACCCCTATGTAGAATCAGATTTAATAATTTAAGCAAGAATTGCACATTCAATATTTCACTAATTACAGCAATTTCTTAGAAATTTCTTCTACCCTTCTACATTTGACTCAACTGTTTTTGAAGTGTGTAACTAGTGATTATTAGAGAGTATCTCAGATTTAGTCAGTATCTGGGAAATGCTGTAGCCCAGGCTAGCTTGGACCTCTCAACGATCCTCCTGTCTCAGCCTCCTGAGCGCTGGGAATCACAGGTGTGCACCACTACACCCAGATCAATCCTTTCAAATCCTTTCTTTACAGCCCAGTGAGGAAGATGGGATAGACATTTGAAAATGTGTGAAGAATGTTCATTACATAACATTAATTTAATGCAGAATGAGAGGTTGAATGGAAGGTAGGGGAATGGGAAAAAGAAGAATCAAGATGGTGTGGTGGCACATGCCTGTAATCCCAGCAGCATTTGGGAGGCTGAGGCAGGAGGATTGCTGTGAGTTCGAGGCTAGCCTGGGCTACAAAGTGAGCTCAAGGCCAGCCTGAAATTCAGAGTGAGACCCTGTCTCAAACACACACACACACACACACACACACACACACACAATCAAGACATATGTAGAGGTACAAATTCCCTATGATGAATGTGATCATTATGTACACCTAAAATGTACCAATAAACATTAAAAAATTTAATGCAGAATGTATACAATATATAGCTAGCGACAGAAGACATTTGAGAGAAATCACTACTGGGGCTATGTTACTATTACCATCATTTTATCTTCCTTTACTAAATGTACAAAAATTTCTCCTAGTCTGTTACTGATCACTGATTTGTCTTTCTTTTCATTTTACTTTTTTCACATACTGTACAGTGTAAGCTATCCTCCTCAGTGCATAGAAGTGTCAGCAATAAAGCAGACTCTTTTTTTTTTGTTGTTTGTTTTTTTTTTCCTGTACCGGGAATCGAACTCATGACCTTGTACTTGCCAGGCAGGCGCTGTGCCACTGAGCTAAATCCCCAGCCCCTAAAGCAGACTCAATATATATTTATTAAGAGAATGGAGGCAAGAGTGACAGGTTACTGAAAATTTAAAGTAACGAGCAGATGTGAGGAAACAAGGTTCTCTTGCTCCCAAGGAGACTAGACTGGCCCAAGATGTGCTAACGCGTGCTTCCTTGGGATCGTGTGTTCGGTGTATCCCAACCTCGTGATAGACGGGCCCACGAGTGCTTGTGGGTAAGGGTGGTTTTCAAATTTTCCTTAGTGAAAATCATTGCATAACAGCCCGAAAGTAGCACGACCTCTGGAAGCCCCGTAGTTCTACAGGTGCTCTCCGATTCCGGCTCCTTTTACGTTGTAAGAGCACGGTGGCCTTGGGGCTCATCTGATAGGCGCCCTCAGATCCTGGAGCTTTCAGTTCTATTCTAACCCAGGGTTTTCTACAGGGAGTAGGAGAGAAAGCTTAAAGAAGTCACTGGAGGACACAAAACGTGCCCAAACCCACTCTAGGCTCATAGCATGATCCCCACACACTGCTCCAAGCTGTCCTACGCCACTCAAAAGACAGATCACGGTCACTATCGCTGCCGGACTAGAGGAGCTCCGGACCCCAGGCCCCGCCGGAAGACGAACGAAGAAGCGCTTCCGGGAGCCAGCAAGCCCGCTCGGCGCAGGCGCAGCAGACGGCTCAGCTCCCGGCCTGGCAGAGGGAGGAGTCAAGAGTCCCCGGTGCCGGCGCCACCTGGAAACGATGAGCGCGGCGGGTTCGGGCGGTCGCCGCCAGGCACGAGTGTCTCGCCTCATCTCGTTCAGCGCGAGCCACCGGCTGCACAGGTGAGGTGTGCCCGCGCGTGTGGCAGCAGACGTAGCCGGGGGCGGGGCTGGGGGCGTGGTCAGGCGAGGGCGTTCCGGGCGAGCGTGGGGCGGGGCTGGAGGGGTGACGTCCGCACCCGGGGCGGGGGTGGGGGCGGAGCCGGCGAGGTCCCGCCTCGGGGGAGCAGCGGATCGCAGCCCCGGCGGAGCCCCGCAGGGGGCGGTTCGGGGTGTGGCCCTGATCGTGGCCGGCGCCTGCGTTCGCACCCAGGGTTTGTTGCCCCGGAGTCCCTTAGTTTACTCCTAAGGCTTCCTGTGAAGTTCCACACAATTAAGCTTGCCTAACCCGAGCCTGGTAAACATTCAGTAGACGTGAGCTGAGATTTCATGCCGGGAGCACGAGCTACCGCATGTAACACAGCAGCAGGGCAGCCCTTGTGCCCCTTGGAACCGCCGATGAAATGCGCCTCCGCGGTCGGTTCCCCAAGCAAGCAGCACAGTTGGGATTTAAACCTCTAGCCCTCCGGTGGCTTGACTGCGGGGAAGAGTTGATTTTGAGGTTTTACTACTCACTGGCAAGCTGTACTCTCGGAACCTCTGTTTCCTCCTCTGTGAAATGAGGAAAATAATTTCTAACCATCAGGATTCATCCATTCATTACTGCAAAAGCGTTTATTTTGTACTTTAAAGCCTTATGCTAGGCGACAGGGTTTCTGCAGGGACCAACATACACGTGTCACACTGCCCCATCTGGGTTTATATGTGTTCGGTTTTCAGGACAGTCGGGTGATACTTTCGTTCAAAAGCTTTGTGAGTGATAGCTAAGTTTGAGAGGTAGAGGGGATAATAAAGTTTTCAAAAGGAAAGGGATTAGATAATAGAAGCTCAGACATGTGAGGGAGATAAAGACTCAGAAAATGGAAAGTTGCCGGCGTGGTGGCGCATGCCTGTAATCCCAGCACTCGGGAGGCTGAGGCAGGAGGATCTTTCCAAGTTCGAGACCAGCCTGGGCTACAGAGTGAGCTCAAGGCCAGCCTGAACTGCATAGCGAGACCCTGTCTCAAAAACACAAAAACAAAAAGGAAAATTGGAAAGTTGATTCGGTGGGTAGAGATAAACAAATTCATTGGTTTTTGTCTGAACAGCAAACGATTGTAATTTAAAAATTTTGCCTAATTTGAATATCCTGCAACAGATTGGTAAGGTTTTCAGTAGGCAGTAGTTGATAGAGGCAGGGTAGAGTGAGACTGTTAAAAGAGGATACTGAGGTCATGTAATTATTTTTCAGAGGAAATGAGATTTGGAGCTGCTTAAGGACAGATTTCCTTTTGTGTTTATCATTCTGTGCTCTTTTTTTTTTTTTTTTTTTTTTTTTTTGTCTTTTTGAGACAGGGTCTCGCTATGCAGTTCAGGCTGGCCTTGAGCTCACTTTATAGCCCAGGATGGTCTCAAACTCACAAAGATCTTCCTGCCTCAGCGTCCGGAGTGCTGCGATTACAGGCGTGCGCCACCATGCCCAGCCTCAGTCTATGCTCTTGCGTCATTGTGCACTTTCAGTAAATGTTTATTGAACTGAAAAATGAAAGGACCATGAGATCACTTGCAGTCTTGCTATGAAGCAAAGGGGTTGAATTTAAAGTTTATTTATGCTAATTTGTGTGGTTTGTAGTGAAATTAGCATACATTGGTTCCTTACATATAGATGAATAATGAAATCAAAGTGATTTCTCCCTTTGGTAACTTAAAGTAATAATAAATTGTGAAACTTTTCAAAGACCAGAGCAAAGCATAAATGTAAGGAACAGAAAAAGTGTCTGAATATGACACTTGAGTCATGCCGACTTCCTTTTTTTTTTTTTTTTTCTTTTTTTTTTTTTTTTTTTTTTGTCAGCAAATCTTTGAGTAATGAGGAAAACTTGAAACTCTTCGGGAAATGCAACAATGCCAATGGCCACGGGCACAATTATAAAGGTGAGAGAAAAACTGGTGAGATTTTAACTCTTTAATAAGGATGTCAGAGTGTGTAGCAAATACAGGTGTAATGAGGAAGAAGCTTCTGGACCGTGTGAATGCTTTAAACTTCAACTAGAAGTTCACAGTGAAAAACCCTGTTGTCTTGGTTGCATGTGTCTTAAGTGTTACCTTATAAATGTCCACTCTGTTCTAGATAGTCGGAGCTAAGGCATGGTATAAAGAACTTTTTCCTGGGCCTTAGAGTATACAATAAAAAAATTTTTGGCAATGTGATTCCCTCTGGTTGTGTATCACTGAAGCTAATGTTAAAGTTGCATTCCAGTGTTTGAGGAGATATGTTTCATATGATTAAAACATTTCATTATATATACACATACATCACATGGTATCCTTTAATATGTATAGTTTTTATATATCAGTTAATAAATAAAATTATGTTTAGAAGCCTTATAGCAATGTCAACATTTAAAAACTGAATTTATTCTTGGACTAAACAATATGGAAATTATTAAATTCCATCTTCCAAAGGGGGAATACTGCCTGTAATGTGCTGTCTGGCAGAAAATTAGTTTGGTGCTCTAAGAAAGTTTAGTATTTTTTTTTTTTTTTTTTTT